ACTTCTTCAGTTGAACTCCAGACTGAAATATTTTAGATAAAAGACCAAACGTTTTACCAAGAAGAATCCGTCCAGAGGACCTGATTTAACCTTCTTAGATGTATCTACGTGGATTAATGGTATGGTATGGTATAAATATCCTGATTCATGCTCAATAATCCAGGTAGAAAAATCCAAAAAAGTTCAATCTGGTCCTCTGGACATTCAAAAAAACAAAACAAAGCAAAAAAATGTAGAAACGTTTCGTCTCTCATCTGAAAGACTTCCTCAGTCTGAGGTGTTGTATTCAGCTCAGTCTCTTAAATAGCACCTTCTTGGAGTGGATCAACCAGTTTACTGCTGACAACCAGAACCAGAGCCTTTCTATCTTATTTCAAGATACTCAAAGTGCTTTACAACAATCTGTGTCCTCATTTACCCATCCACACAGCTCTACATCTCTACAAAGCTAATTGAACAAATCATTCTAAAGAGACTAATCGGTGCTTTAGATCACATTCATACACTGATGGGACACACATCAGAGGCTGTGAGGGGTTCAGTGTCTTGCCCAGGGACACTTCAGCATGTGACTGCTGGTGGATTCGAACCCCCAACTCTCGCATTGGAGGACGACTGCTCTAACCACTCAGCCACAGCCGCCCAGAAGAAAAAATCAAATTATATCTGCCCCTTTTTTCAAACAATTAGTTCAATCATAATAATCTTCAAGTAACAGAACAAAACGAATAACTCTTTCTAATTTTTCTAATTCTAATACAAAAACACACACTAAGCTACGTCATATATATATTTTTAACAATTCAGCTTTGATCTTTTTCTATTATTGAGCAGCATCAGGAAGATGTGCTTTATTTTTTCAGTATAGAAAAGCAAAACTAGAACTCGTCAACCATAAAATATGAGTTTGAACTGACGAACATGTGATAACACTGCTTTACCCATGCACAATTATCTACAGACACCCACAGGCCGGCACATTCAAAGGACACGCCCGTGCCTGAGGAAGATCAGCTTTCTCTAGCTTATTTCTAATCCTGGAAGTAAAAGGATGACATGGCTACAGAAGTACATTTTGGCTTCTGCTTCTCTAAAACACAACACAAGAAAGCTGATAGGCTGAAACATGACTTATTACTGATTAAAAGTTAATAACTACCTCAGGCAATTCAGATTTAAACAAGTACAGGAAAGTCCTGAAGCATGCTCAATCATCCAGACAAATAAATCACAAAATAAAGTTAAGTCAGGTCATCTGGACGGATTCTTCTTGGTTGATACGTGTCATCTTTCATCCAAAAGACTTCATCAGTCTGTGATCCTGCCACAAACTCAGTCCTATAAATAGCACCTTTTCCAAGTAGACCAAACCAGTTAGCCGGGGACTTCCAGACACTCACTTTTCACATGTAAAAGGAGAACTCTCAGTCTAACAATCAAATGGCCGCTTGCTATTCACAGAAACAGCCTGAGGACAAACCATGCCAACGTGGTTGAGACCTTCAGGTTTAATTATTCTTATCGTTTCCATATTTCTCATTTGTTTGCAAACTGAAAGAAAAATAAAATGGTAAGGACAAGAGCTAGACTTCAACTTTTCTTTTGTCTATGAACCAGTTGTGTTAAGTCTTGGCCAGACAACACATACTGTCGTGATTTTAGACATCTGAGAGCAGGGAGAATGTTTGGTAAAGCCATTCTATTGCTGATTTCACACACATTGTACATTTTATGTAAATAAAGCAGTAGATTTGATCTCATCTCTGAGAGGTAATGGTGACACAAGACAGTGCCAGACCAGCACTTTTCCCTAACGAGTGGAAGTGAAAAACAACCCGATAACAAGAGAACTGCGTCTGCATCAGCATTCCCAACGTTCACACTAAGCTAGCACGTTGCGGTGTACACATCCACCTCTCACGGTCAATCAGAGAACATCCGACCGTGTATGTATCAATCAAACGCTCCGGATAAGAAGCAGATCAGACAGAGTAGAGTTATTCAAGGTTAATCATTAAGGGTGCCAATGCACAAGCACTGAAGCACATTTATTACTGAGCCATCATTCCTTTCATTCATTTTGTTTCTCAAGTTTACAATTTCATACTTTTTGATTTGCTACGCCTCCATTGGCTTTAAAAAAAGAAAACAGTATAAAGCTACAGCAGAAAGTGGTTAATTAAAATAAAATAAAATCTATGTTTAGACTTTTAGCAGCAGAACATCATACAGGCTGGATTTAATCAACTAAATATTGTATCTTAGACAACATGGGAATTTTTGCAAATCATTTGAAAAAAACTTCCAGTCATCTTTGGAGGTTTATAACTCCAGCAAACGTTACAGTAGCAACATCATTTAAAGTTTAAACAGGTCACAAAAAGTTCCCTTTTACATGACTGAACTGGCATTTTGATATCTTTAACAATTTTCACACAAAAACAGACAATGTTTTATGAAATACAGAGAATCAGTCATAAACGTTCAGTGATGATGATGATGATGTTCCACATTTTTGAGCTGTCTAGACTTTTCAAAACTTAAGCAAACCGTTCCTTTTTTCACAAGTTTACACCACTTATAGATTTTAAACATCAAAACATAGTAGTTTTTCATGTACTTTCACCTAGTGTGCCTCTCACTGCCATAAAACTAAAGGTTTTCTGTCAAATCCCTTCAGAATGCATTGTGTGCAACTTTAAGTGTATATGAGCCCAGAATTGTTGTTTTCAAAACTGGAAGTGAATGATTTGTTTTTAAGTTGATATTAAGACATCTGAGATAAACAGACAATTCTGCCACTTACAGTTCAGGCATTGTTTTAAGATAACCTAAATGTTTTGCACAGTGACTCTTTGTTGAGGCTTATTTCTAGTCTGCATCTCTTTCTGCCTTATTGTGCTGACAGGTGTGTGGTTGCCATGGATACCCTAATGAGTCACCAACTGCTCTGAGTCTCTGGCTTTATTTTGTGGGTTGAAAGCTGAAATCTTTCAGAGCCACTACGTTACATTATTATAAAAGAAATTATTTTGGGGCTTTATAGAAGAGAGTGGTTGACTCACTGTGGCAATCCCAAGAAGAAGGAAAAGCTGAAAGTAGAAGAAGAAGAACAACAACAGCAACAACAACAACAAGAACCAGAAGAACAACAACATCATCAAGAACCAGAAGAACAACAACATCAACAAGAACCAGAAGAACAACAACAACAACAGTAACAATAACCAGAAGAAGAAGAACAACAACAATATCAACAAGAACCAGAAGAACAACAACAACAACAGTAACAAGAACCAGAAGAACAACAACAATATCAACAAGAACCAGAAGAACAACAACAACAACATCAACAAGAACCAGAAGAAGAACAACAACAACAACAATATCAACAAGAACCAGAAGAACAACAACAACAACAACAGTAACAAGAACCAGAAGAACAACAACAACATCAACAAGAACCAGAAGAAGAAGAACAACAACAATATCAACAAGAACCAGAAGAA